TTTGGTTACCAGTGGCAAATGCAGCACTGACTCAAACACATTTGCCACTTACACACAACGGACAACAAACACCATCCCAGCCACTGTACTTCAGCCACTGATCACCATGGCTGGAAAACCATTCAAACAGATGAAGTGTACTCAAGAAATAAATGAATTCATCATCCATACCTACTATTGTCATCTGCTGCCTGTCTTTCCTTAATCTTGAGAAAGGAGTTAGATAGATGAAAGACAAGACCAGATATGGAAAGCTTAGAGGCAGGAATAGTGTTACCACCCGTCCAGTTTTCACCCAGACAGTCCGGGAATTGACTCACTGCCCAAGTAAACTATTAATTTTGTCCGAGAATTTCATAGAAATTGTGAAATTACGATGAAGCAAAGTTCTTGCAAATACTTTTACAAATTTACACTATTTTAATAGCAAAAGAACTCGCACTCATTGAAACTCATCTGCAATTCTGCCATGTGGGACCATGTTCAATTCTGTTTACGCCGTGTGGGCAACCTGTTGACCTTTTTTTTTTTTCTTGCATGTACTATACAATCGTGCGCGTCTCCAATATCCAATAGAGCTAAGTCATCTCTACCTGTTCTTTCTTACTTTAGGGTTACTTACGTTACTCCTATGCAAGTCCCTAGTCCCTAACTGTAATTGATTTAGAACCGGCATGCACGTTATTCTTTGCATTATAAAATGACATTGCGCATGCATCAGGAACTTCTGTTCGAACAAACCTGATCTGCAATCCGGGTCAGCAATTTTGAAAAGGTTGCAACACTAGGCAGGAGGTTCCGTTAACTATATATGAACATCCAATGCAAACTGGAAGTCACATTATTTCAGTTCAGAAATTTTTTTCTTGAAGGGTGTTAGATAGATGACTGGCATGACTATTGTTAAAGGAAAAATATGATGTACAAGCAAACCACTACTGATTTGAGATGGAGAGCATATATTTTAATATGATTAAAATGACAGTCAGCATTGTGATGATGACACAATAAATAATTGCTTGTTTAAATATATATTCACATTATTTCTGTTTACAAATAACACTTCTACATACAGTATTAACATAATTGTAAAAGTGCTAGATGTAAAATAAANGCGATGAGAGGCAACTGTCACTCATTGCATAACCTTCATTTCTCTGAAAAGATTCAAACCCACTCTCAAAATTCAGTGTTTATTCTGTGATAATTCTTATAAAAAAACAACACCCAATTACTGATTAATATTAATAACAATATTTATCTGTTTATTGATTTTGTGACATAGTGGAAATTTTATTAGTGATTGTTATACTGGTTTAATTTTATACTTATTTGACTAGAGGTGGAATCTTAACTTTCTATTTTATTCAGGTTAAGTTAGTTCTCATACCTAAAAACCTATTCTGTTTCTATGTTAGATGAGTTTGGTTTCTGGCTTATGGTAAAATTTACACAGAAAATCACTCAGATTTTTGCATATAGGCAATTTTCCATTTTAGACAGTATTATTTTATGAAATCAAAAGAATCTGAACATTATGAAAATAAGAGTCAATATTATATCTTATTCTTTTATCTGAATTATTTTTTAAAATTGTTATAGATCTGATTTAATGTACAGGTCTTAATTAAAGTTTTCCTACTCAGTGCACTCTGGCTGTAACCAATAAGCAGATTGATACCAAAATTTGTATGCTGATTGTGAAAAGGATTTTGCAAAAAAACTGAGTTCAAAAACTTCTACTAGCAGGCCTTTTAAAGGAAAATACATAAAACAAAATAACAAAAACACAAGAAAAGTGTATTTATTTTTTCTGCAAGGAACATTCCTTCTGCAGAGGCTATTTAATAATGTAAAGTATTTTGCCCAATGTGTGCCCCATTCTTCAGGTGTAAAATTTGAAAGTGATGAAAAGCTGACTTTATTCATAATGTTTAAAATAACAGATTAAAATGACACTTTAAGATTGGTCTTTGTTATTTACTCTTTTTTTGCATGTATTTTCCTGTAAATAATTATGGCCATTCTATGTATTACAACTTGAAATAATCAAAAACACTTTTTATTGTTTCTTCACTTATAATAAATTTTGAATAAATAGCTATTAAGAATAAAATGCTTACATAAACTAATTCTATAATATAAAATAACCGTTGAAAAATATAAAGTTCATTCAATTATAAGTAAAATAATGACTAAATGATTAATTATTTAAGAATTAAAAATAAACAAAGAAAATATATAGTGTACCAAATCATATATAAATTTATGAATTTTGTTGATTTTTAATTTTATAAATACTTCAAATAAATGTTGGAAGTTCATACATATTTTAAACCATAAACCATATTATCTCTTAATGCTGTTGAAATGATATATTGTAATTAGAGATAAATATTCATTTAATAAATATAATAGTTTCTTAATTTTAATTCATTTTTAAATTAAATAATGTTTAGATTATAAAATAAAATTTATTTTAATTAAATTTTAGATGATAATAATAATAACAACAATAGTTGTTATTAGCTCTTGTTAGTCTCTTGCTAGTCACCACCTTGTTCAAGCAAGACAGCTTAGTAATTCTAATGAACTGTAGACCATTGTCTCGGAAGCACAAGTTTTCAGTAAGGTCATAAGGCCACCCATTTTAGCAAGGTCTATGGGGAGAATTGAAGCAAAAAGTGATTTACAAACAACATCTGATTCAGAATGGGTAGCTGCTAAATAGCATCTGTTCTGCTTATCAGGAATAGTTGATCTATAAACACCTGGCTTTAGGTATATAAGCATACCACTTCTGTGGAGAAGACAGAAAATTTGTTACAGATTTGACAGAAAGGTTGTTAGATGTTTACAATGTAATACTCGCTCAGACAGCATCTAGGTTAATACAGTCTGTGTTCATGCATTAAACAAAGTCTCATGTTCAAAAAATCTACCACAATCTCATTTGGTTACCAGTGGTAAATGCAGCACTGACTCAAACACATTTGCCACTTACACACAACGGACAACAAACACCATCCCAGCCACTGTACTTCAGCCACTGATCACCATGGCTGGAAAACCATTCAAAATAAATGAATTCATCATCCATACCTACTATTGTCATCTGCTGCCTGTCTTTCCTTAATCTTGAGAAAGGAGTTAGATAGATGAAAGACAAGACCAGATATGGAAAGCTTAGAGGCAGGAATAGTGTTACCACCCGTCCAGTTTTCACCCAGACAGTCCGGGAATTGACTCACTGCCCAAGTAAACTATTAATTTTGTCCGAGAATTTCATAGAAATTGTGAAATTACGATGAAGCAAAGTTCTTGCAAATACTTTTACAAATTTACACTATTTTAATAGCAAAAGAACTCACACTCATTGAAACTCATCTGCAATTCTGCCATGTGGGACCATGTTCAATTCTGTTTACGCCGTGTGGGCAACCTGTTGACCTTTTTTTTTTTCTTGCATGTACTATACAATCGTGCGCGTCTCCAATATCCAATAGAGCTAAGTCATCTCTACCTGTTCTTTCTTACTTTAGGGTTACTTACGTTACTCCTATGCAAGTCCCTAGTCCCTAACTGTAATTGATTTAGAACCGGCATGCATGTTATTCTTTGCATTATAAAATGACATTGCGCATGCATCAGGAACTTCTGTTCGAACAAACCTGATCTGCAATCCGGGTCAGCAATTTTGAAAAGGTTGCAACACTAGGCAGGAGGTTCCGTTAACTATATATGAACATCCAATGCAAACTGGAAGTCACATTATTTCAGTTCAGAAATTTTTTTCTTGAAGGGTGTTAGATAGATGACTGGCATGACTATTGTTAAAGGAAAAATATGATGTACAAGCAAACCACTACTGATTTGAGATGGAGAGCATATATTTTAATATGATTAAAATGACAGTCAGCATTGTGATGATGACACAATAAATAATTGCTTGTATGATTATTATTATTTTATTATTAATATAAATGATTTAGCAGAATTTTATTAATTTGGAATATTAATCTAATTATTTATTACACTATGTTAAATTCTTATTTTGAATATTTTAAAATGTATATTTTTGAAGTATTAGGATTTATATATAAAAACTATTTGATGAAATCTCAATCCATGCATCTAATTATAGTTCTTGCATATAAACCAATGATATAAAGTTAATTAAAATAAAATTAATTGAAAATACTTTCATTTTTAAAACATTAAGATTTTTTCAGTTAAAAAAACAAAAGAACAAAGGACAAAAACTTCAAAAACATTTTAATTTTTTTAACAAAATATTAATAAATTTAAATTAAAATATATATTTTGATATAACATATATAAAAACAGAAACTATTAATTAAAACTATTATAATTCTACATTATGAAAAGATAGAGTGGTGGTACTGTACATTAATGGACTAATCAGATTGATTAAAATAGTTTATACTAAAAATAAGGTTTTAATATTATTTGAGGAAAGAAATATTGTTGCTTCTTTCCACATAAGTTTGAAATATTTGAACCAATATGGAACAAATTAAAGAACAAAAATACTTTTAATGATGGTAAACTTTATTTTAATTAACATAGTATTATTGATTTGTGCACAAGAACTATACTTAGATTTTTAATTTCCATAAGAAATAAGCATCACTTGTATATACTCAAATAATACATTATTTATATGTAATGTAATCACTGATTTTCTTGTAAAAAAAAATATTTTTAAGTTCATTTAGAATATCTTTAGAAAATCTACACACAACTTTGTTTAAATTTGTAATGCTAATTATTTTTAAGTTCTGATTATTTTTGAAGCAAATAAAAAAATATATATATAAATGAAATTATGTAATTTTTAATCTTGTATTATTTATATTTTATTTTAATTTGAAAATATATGAAAAATGTTTATTTTCAAAGAACAACAATAAAAATGATTTTATTTATTTATTTTTTTAATTTATTACTTAAAATATAATTTCAGTTTATTATTTTAGGGCAAAGTTGGAAGAATTGATCTAAATTCAGTTCTTAGTCCAATTCAGCATTTGCTGCCCTCAAAAGATGATGAAGGTATCATGATTAATATCGAATCTATTGGAGAAGTTAAACCTGAAAATATTCTAAAAGAAGCAAACCTTGTCATTGAGAATGACTCAGACAATTTGCCGGCAGAAGGTAAAAAAACTGCCGAGGTCAAGAATAATAATGAAAGTGATAAAGCCTCTGATGAATTAAAATCGGATACATTTCTAGGTGATGAGCACGAAACAAAGAATAAATCAAAATCAGACATCACGCACAAAGAAAACACTGACTCGGATCAGTGATTATTCAATGTATTTTAATTTGCATATTTAAATAAAATCTTAATATATTATTTATATTATTCACATAAAATTAAAAAGTCTTAACATTAACTTTTATCATTTAAGTTGAATAACTTTTCTAAAATTATTATTTTTTAATCAGAAGTATTAAATAAAATATGCTTTGGGTTTTTATTTTTTTAACTTTATACAAAATAACTGAATTAATACAAGAACAAACTTTATTATGTTAATAAAAACTTGGATATATTTAATGTTAAAAGATTCCATGACCTCTTTAACCTTTCCTTCAAATTTCATCATCTGAGAAGTGATGACATACATAGATAGAAGAAAATACTGCTTTAATGTTCTTAATAGCCTAACTTTGAAATACTTTTATGGCATTTAAAAATTAAATTAATATATTTAATTAATGGAGAAAAATTCTGATTTTATAAGCATTCTTTCAGGAGTTTTACTTGTTGGAGAGGGAGGATACTTAGACAAAATTACAAAAATATTTTGAAATATTTTTGAATAAATCTAATGAACTATGTATATTATTTTGAACCTTACTAAAAGAAAAAATGAAATCTAATCTGAGAACCATTCTGTATAATTAAAAAATTATAAATAATTTTATTTTGATAATTAAATATATGTTTTAACAGAATGTATTATATTTTATTTGTAGTTTGTTAAAATAATTTTAAAATTAAGTTTTGTCTAATCAAAGAGCAGTATATATCACTTAGATAAATTATAAGTAAATTTCGGATGATTCGGTGTAAATTTATTTATTAAATCTACAAAGAATTCTTATCTGTTATATATATTTTGTTAAAAATACATAAAATGAAATCCAGTTTTAATGCAATTTTTTTTTAACATCATCAGTTCAAAATTTTTGGAATTTTTTTTTTTTTTGTTAATTTTTCTGACAAATAATTTAATACTAATTTAACATGAAAATTGTATGTTTTATTTTACATTTTATGTCATAATTACATAAGTAAAAATAAATTTAATATTTTAGAAAATACTAATTAAAAATGAAATTTATTAAAAAGTTGGAAATACAAATAATTTGTCACTTAGGAAGATAAAATTAAATTTTATTAACATGATAAATCCATTATGTAAGTTCCGCTGTACTATCCTATATGATTATTACTGAGAGTAAAATGTTAACAAAATCTTTCTCTAATGTTGTTAAAATTGAATAATATATAAGAATAATCTTTTAAAAATATTTTTTTAAATGGCTAGAAAAGTTTTTACTTGGTCAATGAACAAAAATCATCATATTTTGATCATAATTAAATAAGAATTATCTACAAATTTTGGAAATTTCTAGTAGGGAATATTTAAAATACATTTTATAAAATTTAACATGCTGTTAATATTAACAGCAACCTTTTTAATTAAATAATCTCGTAATACAAACTTACAATATAGGCTAGATATTTACTTGATTATGAAACTTCAGTGTAAAGAACGTCCTTCATTATTTATAAATAAAATAATAATTATAACAAAATATCGTAATGAATACAAAATAAATAATTTTGTTTCGTTTTTTAATCGATTTTACTAATTTACCATAAATAGCAAAGATCAGTTGAACAGTTTGAATATTCTTAAATGTTTTAGTTGAGAAGTGCATTCATTTAACATTTCCTAAGATATTTAAATATTAAAATATTGAAAAATCTAATATGAAACAAATTGTAAAAGCTAAATGTTGACTTAAAGCGCAAATTTTTATAAAACCGAATAAATTTCGCTACGAAATCTGAATGAGAACTTTTCAATTGGGTATGCAACAACTTAGATTCAGCAAACTAATGCTTTTCAGAAAGATTACATTTGTACAAAATTCTATTCTGTGGAAAAATAATCCGTAAGTGGAACATAAGGAAAATTGGAAATTGTCTTTGTTCTACTTTCACTTTTCCGAAGTGAAATCATAATCTCAAACAATGAACGAAAGCGTGAATGGATCTTTCTTCCGCTTTGGATGAAGTTCCGCTTACAAAATACTGATTTATAAACCGTGTCGATGGATTTCTGTCATTTATCTTTATAATTTCTTTTTCCTTTTTTTTATTTTTATGTCGGATGTATACGTCGAAGAACAGGTTAATTTATTATTTGATACATTAATCGGAACGACTACAGAAAAATATTTTACTTAAATTCAAACGAGATAAAATTTATATTTTGAGTTAAAATATAGAGAAAAACGTTTCATATATGAAAATCGATAAAAGTCGAGTTAAGGTTCCTTTTATCTAGAAGAGAACAAACAATTTATTCGATTGACTTTTGGTTTTGAGTGTTTCTATCAAATGGATCGGTTTGGTTGTTGTACGTTAGACTTTTTTTTTTTCTTTCTTTTTTTTTAACCACGCTATCGTTTAATTTTAGTGCAAACTGGTTACCGACAATAGTTATACAGAAAACTTCCTTTGTGCAGAAAATAAAAGAAGAAAATAATGTAATTTCGACTAAAATAAAATCCTGTTTTTTTTCGTATTTTTGGCAAGATTATTTCCTCAAAAAATTGCTTGGAATAAAGTAAAAATCTGTTTACCTGAAGTACCTTCTACTTGAGTAGGAATGGCGCCAAAATGTGCACTGGAGCCTAAACCATGTTACGTACGAATTCAAATACCTAAAAAAATCCTAGTAGTAAATGTACAACTGTCTATATATTACTAGAATAGAAAAATAACATTACAACGTGTCTAGACAATTTTATTGATGTTTTTTAATTTCCTAAAATACGACAAAAAACTTTTTTTTTATCTTTTATCAGTTCAAGATGTTTAATTCGTTTAAATGTATCTTATTTGTGAATTTTCTTTATGCATAAATCCTCCTCTCTTACATTAATAATATACTTCTAATTTTTTTTATACAAGAATATTTAACTTTATTCTAAGCATAAAAATTGTAGATAAGCTATTTATTTCGGTTGTCTCGCAATCATAAAATTATCATTTTCTCCCTTTAATCTATAAATTTGTATAAAAGTTTAGTTTGTAAAATTGAATGGAGTGTAGAGTAAGACGTTACATAAACCTTCAACTTTATTGCACAATTCCATTGATTTGTAGATTGAATAAATAAATAATTAGATCAGTTCATGTTTTGCTTACAAGAATTTTATTCCTTAATGAAAAAAGAAAAAGAAAATAACTTATATAACAGCAAATTCATGGATATATTTCGAAGAAGACTTTTGCAAATATAGAATTCTATAACAATATATTTTACTACTAAAGCTATTTTTCGCGCTACACCATTCATGTATTTAAAAAAAAATTAATTATATATATTTTTTCATTTTTCTTAACGAAGAAAGAGAGATGTATTTAATTATTTAATCAAAAATAATTTATTATTAATATAATTTCAATGAATTCTAGAAGTATTCTATAATAAATTGCAAACTTAAATAGATAAAAAGTATTAAAATAATAATTTTTTTATCACATATAAACTGATGAAGATAATAAGGAAGAGGAAAAATTAAGCTTTTCAAACGGAACTTTTCACAGAATACAAATCTAAAATGAATTATAACGTGGAAATATATTAAGTTTATTACTCATCCATTAGTGATAAATTTTGATTCTGAGTATAAAATCAGAATTTATTAAAATGAAAAAAATTATATAAAAGAATTTTTAAAGCATTCTAAATCATGCAACATTTTAAAAGAATTATAAAGAAGAAGAAAAAAAATGTATGACATGCTATTATATATATAATATAATAACTGAGTTATAACATTATTTTTTATTTTGATAATATTGTACAAGTAGGAGAAATATATCTGGAGCACATTATTGTACACTAACCTCTCATACTGAAGAATATATTGACCTTAATATAATAACGATATTTTCTTTCACGTTGAAAATGTGTACAGGAAATAATAATGTCAGTTATTGATCTGTTAACTAATTGTACTGCCAGGATGACTCATGGGTTCTACAGAAAACCGTTTGATATACTTACTTAAATAATAAGTTGAGATTAATTTATAGATTTAAAACACCGGGCCAGATTTTTATTATTTATTTATTTATTTATTTTTTCAAGTGGGAAAAATCAAGAACTTTGCGCTCTTTTGAACCAATGTGTGTGACTCTATTAAGGGGATAATAGGCGCTATCTCGTTCGTTACTCCGCTAATTATCGTTAATTCATTAAATTTTGAGAATAATTAAAGAAAACGGATCCGTTTTCTTTAATTATTCCTAAAGAGGCCTTCGATAGAGGAAGGAAACTTGATTGATTGAGTTATTATGTGAAGAAGTGCAAGCAATTAAAAGAAGATCGATACCAAAAAGAATATAATTTGATTCGATAAGAAACGTTTCTCTCTATTAAAATTAAAACTATATTAAATGCAATTTTTACGCCCTTCTTAATAAAGTATTCTACGTCTTTATAAATCGATTTGTTTGTTTTGTTTTTTTTTTTTTTTTCTTCCTCTTCCTTCGGAATCTCGGGTTCCGAATAAATTTTAGTACCTCGGGGTACACCAATTAACAAACTTTAATGTTGCACTATTATTATTTTATTCCTTTGTGAACAAAAAAAAAACTTAAATACATTCAAAAATTAATTTTCATACTTTACGAATTCCTATTTGTTTCTGTAAATCGCAAATGTGAATTTTCTAATATACAGTAACGAAATGAGACTTAATTCTAGATAATTCTCTGTTTTAAAAACAAAATGCCGGGATGATAGCCCAGGCGGTTAAGGCATCAACCTACTGCCAAGGACCGAATCCGGGCGAGCAACCCCAGGAATTTTTGAGAGGGTGGTCAGGCCCGTCCCTCGCCACCCGACCGCCCCCACTGTGGGCCTGGCCGAACGATAGGACTAATAAACAAAGGAGGCCTCCTTAGTGTCCACGGGACGGAAAGGGAGAAAAATAATTTTTTTTTTTTTTAAGCGAAAATTAAAATCACACAAAAATACTTTTTTTATATTCTTTTACATATTTTCGTGCGACGGTAGATACATTTGAACTCGTGTAAGCACGAGAAACAAAACAAAATAGTAACATATAAAACTATATCGGAACACGTCACGGA